TAAAGAATCTAACAAACTTAAGCGTGTTTAACATTTGTGATTAATGCTCGAGTTTGCATTAAACAGGGAAAAAGCATTTGCTATCCAAAAGCTTTTGCTTTGAGATCCAGAAAATGTCCCAGTAAGGCACTGCACAAAGCATCCGAGTCTCTGGTTACGACCAGGAGGACAAGGTGGAACAACCACGATTAAGATATCGGCAAGCCAGCTCTGATAGGAAATCATTGCCATCACCAACATCTACACTGATGTCCATATGCACATTTACAGTGTCTGTGGCATTGTCAATAAAGGACTTCATCATCTTCGTTCACCATATCAAGGGTGGTCTCTCCAGCTGCGAGCCATTCATGACGTAGGCATCACGAGTGTGACGGTGGCGTGAACAAGTATGAACGTAGTATCAAAAGTACACAAAGCGTGATCACCACGTGGAGCAGGAATGTCACGCGAAGAGTTTAGAGACGACGAGAAGGGTATAAAAGGCGACACATCTGAGCAGGCAAGTGAGTATCGAAGGAAGCAAGGAGATAATCAGAGAAATGGGATTCGGTGGCTGGCCATGTCCGTATCAGTGGAAGTGGGCACCGTGGACTGGTGTCATACAGGGTTCACAGTGTGGTGAGAAGGGTGCATGGTCATCATGGGTGGTGCCACAATGTGAGTCGCCATGTGCGTGGTCATCATGGGCGGCTCCGCAATGGGGCAAGCCGTGGGGATGGTCGTATCCGTGGTGGTAGAGCAGCCAACTGACACTGAAAGAGCTCTCCCCTACAACTTTCCTGCTCTAACACGAACTATATAACACAAGTGCTGATTGTTTGTGGCAATTTCTCAATAAAAGATTGTGCAGCTGATCCTGCTGTGTTATTCACATTACCAAGCAGCAATCACGTGGTAGAAGGGCAAGGTGCTGAAGGGGGTATGGACCCAATGCTCCAAGAAAATGCAATAATCAACTTCCCTACCGGTCTGTAAGTCGGTTAAGTAGGCAATCAATCGGTCAGTGAATCAGTCACTCACTCAATCGAGAAATTAGTTTGATCAGGATTGTGACTGGCAGTAGAAGAGAGCAAAGAGAAAACGCAGACGCATTTATGTCGAAATGGTTCACTGGAATGGAAGGAGAGAATGCAGAGCGAGATAACGCGAGTCCATTAAGGTAAATAAATAATAGAGAAACAAATGTAGCATAGTGGAAGAAAAGAAAACAAACGTATTAAATGAGGTGGGACAGTTAAGGGCTGCGGGTTAGCAGCGAAGAGGAGAAATGTGCATTGACTGAGATTTAGGCTGAGGAGTTAAGATAATCGCTAATACCCATCTGCCCATCATCCACCTACCCTTTACTATCTCAATGCACCGATCCATATGTGCACTTTTCA